AGAGATGTCCCCGGATAGGAGCTCCAGAAGTATACCAGGGTACCCCTTCAATCCAAATCTTCGTATATGGCCCTCACAAAGCCCCTATGAACTCTACAAACTACGAGAGCCCCCGACAGCCACCGAAAGTGTGAGTTGTCCAAGGCCCAAACCTTAGGGTGCACGCTCCCTAGTTCCTAAAACCTCCAAAAGTTACCCCTAAGCCCTTGAACTCGCACAACTTTCAAGCCCTCAACACTTCAGCCCTGATCTCTGAATATCCCAAACTCAAAAAACCTGAGCCATGAAAGAACTCTAAACCCTAAACCCTAAACCCTAAACCCTAAACCCTAAACCCTAAACCCTAAACCCTGAACCCTGAACCCTGAACCCTGAACCCTAAACCCTAAACCCTAAACCTTCAGTCCTAAACCCGGATGGCCCGAGAGGTGTCCGACAAGCTCGGGGAGCTGGGTCAGCCGGGCGTCGCGGTGAGCACAGCAGGCCATGGCTCTGAGGGATTCGGTGGTTTGTGGGCATGTAGTACTCTAAGGGTTTTAGGTAGGGTTTAGGGTTTAGGGTTTAGGGTTTAGGGTTTAGGGTTTAGGGTTTAGGGTTTAGGGTTTTAGGGTTTTAGGGTTTAGGGTTTAGGGTTTAGGGTGTAGGGCTTGCCTGTACCCCCACCGTCGTTTAGCAGCGGCGTCAAAATACCTTCTTTAGAGCCATAAGCAACAGGGCGACCAAACCCTACACCTCCCTCATGGCCTGAAGCAAAGACCCTGAAACCCTGAAGCCCTGAGACCTGAAACCCTGAACCCCTGAAACCCCTAACCCTAAACATACATCCCAGACACCCTAAATCCTAAACCCCAAACCCTAAACAACAAGCCCTAAACCCCGGACCCTGAACCCCCAAACCCCCTAACCCTAAACCCTACATCCTAAACCCTAAGCCCTAAACCCTAAACCCTAAACCCCAGACCCCAAACCCCCCAAACCCCCCAAACCCCCCCTAAGCTCTTCAGGAGCCCAGCTGAAGTGTGAGCAGATCGTCGGCAGTGTGAATACCGGCCGAGGGGAGCTGCAGCTGGGCGTACTTAGGTGTTGTAGGGTTGCTTCGTGTGGGTTTTTTAGGGTTTGGGGCTTTAGGGTTTAGGGCTTTAGGGTTTGGGGTTTTGGTGCCTGGGGTTTCAGGGTTTTGACGACTTTTGGGCTCAGGGTTCAGGGTTCAGGGCTTTAGGGTTCAGGGCTTTAAGATAGTTTTGGGTTGAGGGTTTTCAGGGTTCGGGATGTAGGGTTTGGGGTTTGGGGGTTGAGGTCAGGGTTCAGGGATTGAGATTTCCGGGTTAGGGGTTTGAGAGTTTGGGGTTTCGGGCTTTGGGGGTTTAGGGTCTGAGGTTCGGGTTTTCAGGGTTTGGGTGAGGGTGGGGGACGGGCTGATTAAGCCGGCTGGTTCTTTCAATTGGTGAGACCGCAGCAATCTTCAGGAACAGTTTCTAAACCCTCAAAGCCTAAACCCTAAGCCCTAAACCCTAAACCCTAGGCCCTAAACCCCAAACCCTCAACGGTCTGAGCCGTGAGGCACGTGCTGTGTCGGGTCTCCGGGCATATGGCCTCGCTCGCCTTCGCGCTGACGATGTTGCCCGTCGCCAAGGATGGGGGCTTGGTGCTCCGGCATCGGGCTTGCGCGCACACGCCACATCCCTCAGGCCCAAACAACCCAGCCACAAGCCTTCAAATCGCTCTAAACCCTAGACCCTACCCCCTAAACCCTAAAACCCAATCCTCGATTGTGGGGTTCACGGGCCGCCCTTTATCGGGCCTCTGTTGCAACGCATTCCGGCGAGCCGACGACCCCAAGCATCCTACGCTCGAAGTTCTGCTTTGCCAAATTTCCGAAGCCCTACAGCCCTAAACCCTGAAGGCACCAAGTTTGAGTCCCCACAGCCCCGAAGCAGAAAGCACTTCTAGAGATGTCAGAGTCATGCAACTTCCCTCGCACGGACATCCGCCCCAACGCTGAACCCCCAAACCCCCAAAACCCTAAACCCTAAACCCCAAACCCTAAACCCTAAAAACCCAAAAGCCCTAAAACCCTTGAACCCTAAAACCTGAAAACCCTAAAACCCTAAAACCCGAAAACCCTAAAACCCTAAACCCTGAAAGAAGGACAGCATCCTGCTGTGGGTCATGGGCCTCAGCTTCGAGAGGTGGAGTGGCCGGGAGAGGGGAGGAGGGTTTAGGGTTCAGGGTTCAGGGTTCAGGGTTTAGGGTTTAGGGTTTAGGGTGTAGGGTTTAAGGGTTTAGGGTTTAGGGTTTGGGGTTTAGGGTTTAGGGTTTAGGGTTTCGGGGTTAGGGGATAGGGTTTGGGGTTAGGGTTCAGGGTGTAGGGTTTGGGTTGAGATTGCGTGGCAAGTCTCTTCGTAATCACTTCCCGCCAAGTATCATATAGTAAAGGTCCTGGCTGGGTCCAGTATTGGGGGGAGAAGATGATAGCGCAGTCCGTGTAGCTTGCAGCTCGAGATTTTCAGGTCCAGGGTTCAGGTATGAAGACCCATGACATCTGTAGAATTCTGTTGATGTTGGGGCTTCAGATTCCCCTAAACCCAAGACCAGGAATCCTAGACCCTATGTGCATGAGGCGAAAGGATGTGAGCCATAAAGCCGGCAGCCCCCTGGAGCCTTCCTAAACCCTCAACCCTGCACCCTAAACGTCCTTCGGCCAAGGGCTCAAACGTCTTCTGTTGCTTTTGTTGGGTGCATGCGGGGCGTCCCCTCGGTTGCTCTTTGGGGGTGAGTGCGGGGGCGGGGGGGCTTGTGATGTTGAGTTCTCCTATCGTTATCCTGATGTTTCAGGGTTGGCATGGGCCTATTGAGTACCCTGAATGATGAGCAATGTGAGAACCGAGATCCCCAAGAAGGAAGCGGAGACTTTGCTTCGTTTCGGGTTTTGGGGAATGGTGTAGGGGGACATGTCAGACGTCCAGGGCCACCTCTAAACTCCCAAAGACCCTAAAACTTAAACCCAAAATCCTAAACCCTGAACCCTAAACCCTAAATCCTAAACCCTAAACCCTAAGCCCTAAACCCTAAACCCTAAACTCTAAACCCTAACAGGGTTCTGCACTGGCATCGTGGGTTGGGTGCGGTGTCCTACTTCGCGGTCACCGGGCACATGCTGCTTTGGTGGCGCCTTGCCCCCGTGTTTCGTGTTTTTTTTTTTGCTGCTTGTATTCGGCTTGTTGGGCGTGAAGGCCGTTTTAGGGTTTAGGGATAGGGGTTTCGTTCGGGCTTTCATCATGGGCTTTGTTGGGTGTTTTGGAGTGCGCTATCCGTTATCATTGTTGCTCGATATGTTCTTCCGACAAGATGGTCCATGCTGGTACTCTCCAGACGCAAGACGCCATAGCAGAGACCCGGAAGCGCTTGCAATTTAGCTCCAGCCTCATACTCTAAACCCTAGCCCTAAACCCTAAACCCTAAACCCTAAACCCTAAACCCTAAACCCTAAACCCTAAACCCTAAACCCTAAACCCTAAACCCTAAACCCTAGACCCTAGACCCTAGACCCTAGACCCTAACTTGTGGGGACTACGAGCCTTGCCTCTGCCTTAGCTGTGGCATCGCCTTTCACAAGCCCTGCCCCAAACTCCAAATCCTACAGGGTTTAGGGTTTAGGGTTTAGGGTTTCGGGTTTCGGGTTTGGGGTTTGGGGGTAAGGGTGTTAAGCCCTAAGCCCCACACTCCGGGCCTCAAACTCGAGGTCTTAAGCACCGAAACTGAACTCCCTCGCACCCCCTCGAAGTCTCACACCCCTTTTTGGGTGCCGAGGCTGAAGTGGATCTTGGATGGGACCGGCTCCAGGGTTGGGGGAGCTTGGGGTTTTGGGTTTCGGGTTTTGGGTTTCGGGCTGAGGGTTAGGGCCGTAAGGTTTTTGGAGTTGAGGGAGTGTCGGGTTTGGGGTCTAGGGCTTAGGGGACCTGTGAGAGGTCTTTTGGGTTGCAAGGGTTCGGGGTTTAGGGTCTACGAAACCCGGCACGTGCACGTTTCTTGGAGACTGTGCAGCTTAAACAACGCAAAGTCGCGCGTAGGGCCGCCAGGCATGCAGGGAATTTTCTCTGAAACGAACTGTTGAAGGCCTGACGCATCTTTGCGAAAAGGCGGAGTGATAGGGGAGAGTGGATTTTTTTTGCAGATACACTGGGAGCATAAGTTGCTGGCTGGGTCTAGGATTCTGGGTTTAGGGCTTGGGGCGTTTAGGATTCCGGGCATCGCGTCCGAGACACCTACAGCACCCTACCACCGCCTTGTCAAACCCATCTACGCAGGCAGAGCCAGAAGACTGCCAGAGTGTAGGTGCAGGGCATTGGTAATCAAAACCCTAACTTGTGATGTTCCCTCTTATACTAACAATCCATAATAGGGATTCTAGTAGGGGGTACTCTGCTGCCTATGAAGGACTGCTAGCATAAGGGGCTGGAAGCCTGCTGTCGGGTGACAGGACCTTTGTGAAGAACCTCATCCTCATCGACACTCAGACGCTGGGCATACTCAAAAGCTTGCTAGGCATCCGGCTAGGTAGGTTTCAGACAACCCTCAACCCCCAAACCGTAAACCCTAAACACTAAACCCTCAAACCCTCAACCCTAAACCCCTAAGCCCCTTATGCGTAAGCTCCGCCAGGTGAAGATGCACATGGCCCCTGCGCAAGGATGACACGCGTGTATCTGAGGCTGTTTTCTGTTGCTCAAAAAGAAGTTCGAGGCCTCTGTGGGGGGGTTTAGTTTGGGTCCCAGGGACTTAAGTTACCTTCTTTAGAGAGATTCTGGTTGGTGCATTAAGCAAAACCACCAACTTAAGTTGCGATCTACCGGATTTTGGCACCCTATTTACGTAGGTTATCAGCCGTAGCCTCTTGCTACGGTTGGGCTAAGGGACCTAGTGGGGATTTTGGGCTAGGGGCTGTTAAGCTAACGGGCAAGGGTTGCGAAAGTCGTAGACTAGAGCCTGTGTCCACAGCCATGGATCCCTTGATGAGAAAACGTGAGTCAGCAAGTCCCTCGGGGGGTGCTGTGTTGGAGGCCCCGGGTGATGCAGATGCTGCGTATGAAACAGCCTTGAGTCAAGCTTTGCATTGTAATGATGAAGCAGATTCCGAAGGAAGGGTGCAAGAAGCAGCCCTGATCGATTCGAGGAGTCCAAAGGAAGAAGCACCAGTGGAAGGGCTCGTTGCCAGTCCGTTCCATTCCGACAAAGTGCATGCTGAGGTGGAGTTGCTGCGGAATAGGCCAGCTACGTTAGATGGAGACGCGCAGCGTGTCTCAGAGATCAACGAAACTGGTCTTGGCGACAGGATTTCCGGGGCATGTACAGGTGAGCCACAGTATTTTGCGGACGAAGGTTCAAGGGAAGCTACAGTGCGTGTGGCGCGGCTTGAGGGGTTTCCTGAGGGACAATCGGGCAGCGCAGCGCTTGCTGGAGAGATCCAGGCCGGCAGGAGGGACGACGGTGAGCCGTTGGCTGCGGGATACGGAGTAGAGCGCGTTAGGCCCCACCCGTGTTCTGAAGGTCAAAGTGGGCTTAGTCCGGAACTGAGGAGTCCTGGAAGTTGGAAGGGTGGTTTCCCTCAGCGGCTGGAAGAGGCGTATCAGATGAGACCCTTCCCAGGGGATAGCAGAGAACTGGTTCCAGCAATCGCCGACGGAACATCTCGGTTGGAAGCGCTACTCTTGCAAGTGATGGAAGAGAATAGATCCTTGCGAATGCGCGTGGACCAGATGGAGACCCAATCGAGTTGGCATAGCGGACGAACACAGGCCACACCGCCTGAGCTGGAAGCACATATGAGTTCGCCGGTTTCACTGATGAACAGTAGTGTAGGAGCTTCAAGGCCCACGGAAAGTAGGTCTGCTGGCATTCCGCCATTGAGCCGGGGAGGGCCCCAGACTTTCAGTCCTCCACAGGCCCAGGGCGGACCTCAAGCTCCAATGGGGGTAGGTGGGGTTCAGAAAAGTATGGTGGTCCAGGGTGGGTCATTGGTGTCCGGGGACTTGGAGTCTCGGGAGTTGGTGCACTATCAGGGAAGACAAGCTGGGCTTCATCGAGAGGGCCATGAACCGCGTGAGCCATCCATGGAGTTTGACAGACGTGTTTTGGATCCAGTGCTTATGCCACCTGTCCCTAAACCAATCCTTCTGCCAGTTGAGCCGCCTGCCAGGTTGAACTCCACGGGTTTTATGGCAAAGGTTCTGGGTGTGCGTGGGATGGAGTACGGGGGTGTACCGGGGTATGAGGGTGAGTCGGTTCACAATCAGGTTTTTCACACTCCTAGAGGTTGCGGTTCAGGGAATTGGGGGGTGGATTGCCAAGGGTATCCGGTATCTCCAGGAGGTACTGTGATTCGACCTCCGCCGATTCCACCGCCTCGTGAAGCTTGCCGGTCGCTTGCAGAAGCTGCAGTTCCAGGGGTTGGTGATGCTAGGATGCAAGCGCCAAATACTGGGGTGATAGGCAGCAGCGTGGGCGAGAGACCGGAAGAGCCGGCGAAATACATTTCGGAGCTGCCCAAGTTACCTGCGTTGGATGTGAGTACCTCTGCGGTTGCCTGTGGCAATTGGATGGCGCAGCTTAGGCAGGTGTTTGCCGGGTTGAGTCCTAGTGCGTTGGTCTGGTATGAAGCAGTGGAGATGGCAGCTACGAAGTGTTACCAGCGATGGCTGGTTGCTGATCCTCTGGATAGACTCAGCCTAGACCCAGGTGGAGTCGTCGCTGTATTTGATGAGGTGAAGTTTCAGAGGGTGGAGTCTAGGGCTGTAAGCCTTATGTTGGCAGCTATTCCACAGAGTCTGAGGGACGACGCGGTGTCGAACAGGTGGTTGACTACTGCTTCGTTGTTGTTTAGGGTACAGTACGTTTACCAACCGGGTGGGTCATCCGAAAGATCCACGTTGCTGCGTCAGCTTACTTTGCCGGAGACTGTTTCTACAGTCACAACTGCGGTAGCAATGCTGCGGAAGTGGCAGCAGCATTTCTACAGGGTTCGGGAGCTGGGAGCTTCTATGCCAGATCCGTCGCTGTTGTTGGCAGGAGTTGATAAAGCAACTGCAGGACTGCTGGGGCAGCACCCGGCGTTGGGCTTTCGGGTGAACGCATTTCGGCATAGGGTGGCGTTGGATTACAATCCTACGGTTCCTACGGTGGTTCAGTTGGTAAGGTTAATCCAAGCCGAGTGTGAAGCGCTTGCGTTGGGCCAAGAGGGCCAGGTACCCGATAAGAAAGCTCGGGCTGCAGCGGCTAGGGCGGAGGCTCAGAATGAAGGCTCAGTGCCCAAGGCGCCAGCAGTGCCTAAGGGCGGGGAGTTCTCAGGAAATCCGGGGGTCAAGGCCCTTGAGGGAGGAAAGGGTGAGAAGGGGAAAGGAAAGGGCAAGGGAAAGTTTGAGGCGGGGGAGCCTAAACCCTGCTTTAGCTTTGATGAAGGGAAGGGATGTAAGTTCGGTGACTCTTGCCGGTTTAGGCATGACCGAGTGCAGGCTCGGAAGTCGAAGCGTTGCCTGGCGTGTGGTCAAGAAGGTCATTTTCGCCCTGACTGCCCCATTGTAGCCCCTGAGAATAGGCAGGTGGTTACCTGGTTACCCCGGATCCTTCCTCCCCTAAGGCTGGTGCCAAGCAAGGGTCCCCCAAAGCCAAGGTAACCCCACAAGCTAAGGGTATCTCTGAGGATAATTCAGCAACGGGGCAAAGGACTGAGGGCTCGTCTGGTTCTGCAGGAACGGGGAATGGGCAATCGTCAGCGCAGGAAGCTTTGTTTGCGGAAGCCACGAAGCTGCTGAAGGGAGTTTCGCTCAAGCCCTTGCAGGTTCCAAGTGAAGGGGTGCTCAGCGGGTTTGGTATTGATCGGGGTTGGCTTATGAGTGCTGTTGCCAATGCTTCGGATCCTCTCTATGCTCCAGTTGACAGTGGAGCTACGAATGCACTACGACCTGCAGATCCGATTGAGGTGGCAGAGTCCCAAGTCATCAGGGTTGATCTGGCTAGTGGCGGTACGCAGTTGCACATAAACAAGCATGGGACTCTGCTGAGCGAAGCAGCATGTCAAGTCATCATTCCTGCAGGGTACTTGGTTCAGCTAGGCTTCTCCATTGTGTGGGGAAAGAAGGGTTGCACCATTCGGCGTAAGGGAAGGATTCCATTGGAGGTTACGGTGGTGAAGGGTTGTCCCCTCATTGACAGGGAGATTGGGCTCCAGTTGCTTCGGGAATATGAGCAGTTAAGGGAACCGGGTCTGGGGGTCTCTGTGAAAAGTGTGGGTCTCGACGGAGGGGCTACGGTACCGCGTTCTAGACTTCGTTCATGGCTGGCCTTTCAGGTTGCTACAGGGTCTCTTTCTCGGGTGAATCAACTGGTGTGGCTGCGTAGTATGTTCCCTGATGTGCCGATAGGAGTCCTTAACCAAGTTGCAGGGGATGACGCCTTGCCGGGCACCTTGGATCCAGAAGGAACTCCATGGAATCACCGTCGCCGGCGGAGTATCTTGAAGGCTAAGCCAGGTGAGGTGCTCACACATCTGTTTGCAGGACAGCAGAAGTGGCGGGTCCCTGGCATCTTGGTTGAAGTTGAAAAGGCCCGTGGCTCCGATCTGCTAGCTAAGAACGTGTGGCAACACTTGTTGGTGTGGGCATGTAGTGGGGTTGTCGGGGGGGTCATAGGAGGGCCTCTATGTCGTACTTGGGGATGGCGGTCCACCTCCTGTGAGGGCTCGGGACGGTGGGGTTTACCAGGCCTTCCGGGAAATCTAGCTGGGCTGGTTACTGAGGATAATATCCTTTGGGTGCTTGTTCCTGTACGCAGTGGCCCAAGCGGCAGCGGATGGTCCCCCAAATCCCAGTGAAGGGTTGGCAGATGCAGGGTTGCTTGAGGGCTGTTCAGTATTCCCGGATGGGATCACAGATGCGGTAGATTTGGCGAAGTGGCCTTTGAAGAGAGCCGCAGCGAATTTGCATACAAGGGAGACTGGTGGATTCGGAACTCAGATCGGTGGGCGTCGCGTCCTGTTCGGATGGGAGCATCCACGTGATCCTGAGGAATATCTTGAAGGGGAGCAAGTGCCTGAGGGGGGTTGGACATCCTTTTGCGCGTTTCCTGAGTGGAGCTACTTTCGGGACATGTTTGGGGTTTATGTTGCCCACTTTGACCAGGGGAAGTTTGGGCACGCTAGACCTAAGACGACTACGTTTGCGACAACTTCGTGGTGGCTCTATGAGAATTTGGATCAGCACTTTCTGACCCCGTTGCAAAGGGCGGAGTTTGGGAAGGGGCCGATTCTTCCTCAGTCTCGACTTAAAGAGGTACCGTACTGGGCACTTTGGGCTCCAGGGCTTAGCCATATGGTGAGGTGTGCTTGGGGTCTATGGTTCAGGGAACAGGAGAAGCAATCTGAAGTAGAAGAGCGTCGCGTCTTTCTAGCTCGGCTCACAGAGGCGGAGCGGATTCAACGGCATGAGCGGAACGATCATGTGCCTTTTAGACGCGGGTGTGAGGTCTGCTTGGGAGCTCAAGCACGCCAGCGCTCGCATTGGCGGGCTTCCTGCACCAACGTCCACTCCTTGTCATGTGATATAGCAGGGCCGTTTAAGAATGGACGCAGCTATGATCCGACTGCATCGGGGAGGGATCGGGGAGGAGGGTATCGCTACTTTCTGGCTTTTGCCTTTACTGTTCCAATCTTTCCGGTAGGTGCAGGGGTTGGGCTGATCGAAGACCCTGCACGGATGGCTTCGGTGTACTTAGACCCAGAGGGGAGTGATGGCGTTGGGGATGAGGACCTTCCTGGGTTGCTGCCGGTTTTCAGTCTCGGGTCTGAGTCGGGGTTAAAGGGGGCACCAGTAGTTGACAAGGTTACGCATCGCATACGTGCAAAGGGTCCTGAGCCTGCAGATGTACCGGATTCTCCAGAGGGTGACGTTCCTCCTGTTGTACCAACTCGCACTTTGTTTATGGGGGTTCCACTGCGTGCCAAGAAGGCAAAAGAAGTACTTCCTGCGGTGCAAGCTGTAGTCAACAAGTTAGAAGCCTTTGGGTTTCCTGTGCACAGATACCATGCAGATCGGGCGCAGGAACTTAAATCCAAGGCTCTAGTCAGCTGGTGTCGTGATCGTGGCATTCACCCTACCTGGACGCCTGGGGAGTCTCCTGCAGGCAACAAGGCCGAACTGGCGGTGCAGCAATTAAAGGGGCTTACCCGCAAGTTGTTGCATGTGGCAGGGTTGGATTCGGATTTTTGGCCGTTAGCGCTGCTTCATGCTAGTCGCCGCCATTGGGTCGCTCTTTGTCAGGACTTAGGAATTGTTCAGCCGGTCTTGCTACCGTTTGGGTTGGAGCTACTGGCTCGTCAAAGGGCTCGATCGGGGTATGAGTCGCATTGGCGTTCGCGCGCTGTAAAGGGGGTGTACTTGGGACATGCTCCGGATACACCGGGTGGGCATTTGGTCACTGAGGAAGCCGGTGATCGTAAAGTGTTGCTAACCAACTCCGTGTATCCTTTGAGTCCTCGGCAGGTGGATCCTGCCAAGCCTCGTTTTCGTTTGCGCGACAAAACGACTCCGCATTTGGTAAAAACTTTGGTCTTCGCAGATAGCCTCTCTCTGGCTCCGCCGGTGTCTGCCAGGGATGTGGCCAGGTTGGCACCTGGGGGGGAGTGGGATCAAAATGATTGGGAGTTCGATGGATCCGAGTGCGATTGGGACTCAGTGTCAGATTCGGGGGAGAGGCATTTGAAGGATCAAGGCGAGAATCCGGGTCGGGAATTTCGAGATTTCTGGTCGGAAACGATGGGAATGTTGAAAGTCTGGGACTCCGAAGAGGAACAGCGACCGTTGCTTGGGAAGGGTGTTAAGGAAAGCTCAGAGGTTACTGTGATGCCTGGGGAGTTTCTTAGCGCCTGCCAAGCAGAAGGGCGCTATGATTTCGCGAGCTGCCTGAAGGTACTGCGTGAGTGTGTAAATGGGTTTCCACGTCCTAGGAGACCGGGCCTAGAAGGGGATAGGGCGTATGCAATCCTGGGTTTGTACTCGCATGGAGGAATGATTGGGGTAACAAGTTTTGCTCGGAAGAATCCAGAACTCACTCAGTACCTGAATGGCTTTGTGGAGCGTCATTTTCCGGGCGGGAATTGGACGACATTGTATCTGGCCCGCAACACGATTGCTTCTATCCACAAAGACTCTCGGAACTTTAAGAGGTTGCCTGCGTGGATTGTTGCCCTAGGGAGTTTTCAGGGTGGAGGTCTTTGGGTTGGCAGTGCCGATGGAAAGGGTTCCATTCTCAGATGGTAGTGTGAAGTCAGGGCATGTGTTGGACATCCATGAAAGACCTCAGTTGTTCGACAGCCACATGTGGCATGAGAGTGAGCCTTGGGTAGGGACGGATCGTTGGGTACTTGTTGCCTATGTTCCGGGAAGATTTGAGGCTCTCGGTTCCGAGCAGCGTCAAGCTTTGGTTGAGCTGGGTTTCTCGGTAAAGGGCCTGTATGGCTTGGGTACCGGGGAGGTATCGGTTTCCCAGTGTAAGGCGAGCGTCTCATCTGAAGCTTGCGACGAGGGGCAAGATGCTGTCAGTGGGCCGGCCTGCTCAGAGTTTGCGAGTTCGTGGGAGGTTGAGCTTCCGTGTGAAATTCTGGACCCGGGGCAGTTTGAGCAAGCAGTGTCATTGCATCATCGGTATGTAGAGGACTGCTCACGAATTGCCGGGGAACTTGATAGGGCAGTTGAATGGGGCTGCGGGGGTCAGGTTTCCAAGTTGTTGAGGGTTGCGCGCTTGGAGTGTGGATGGTTTGAAGGGGTACTCAAAAGATGGGGCCCAGTCGAAGAAATGCACACAAGCCTCAAAGGGTTAACCACGGACATTCCACTAGGGGAGCAGGAACTAGAGGCAGCAGAAGTGTTCTTGCAGACAAGGACTGTGGGTCTGGATGAGGCGCGTAAAGAGTTGGAAAAGTGGAAAGGCCCAGGCCAAGACAAAGTAACAGCATTAGAGGAGACAACTGGGGCTGTAGAGCGTGTCACGGTTGAGCAGGTTGAAGAGTGGATTCGGGCTGGTTACAAGGTTATGCAGGTGCCTGGAAAGGCGGTGCTGACGAGAAAAGCTGGAGTAGGTAGGCGCCAACTACGGGCAGTGTGCTGTGGAAACTATTTGCCAGCGGAGTCCTTAGGTCTTGCCAAGTCTGACTTGTACGCCGGAGGAGTAGAAGCGCTCACCGTGCGAGTCGTGCTGGTCTATGTAGCGTCACGTCCTGACTGGTGTGGATGCATACTGGATGTGAAATGCGCGTTTCTATATGCTCCAGCGAGATCGATTCAGGAAGATGCTGAGAAGCAAACCATAATAGTGGTGCGTCCACCGTATCTGCTTGTCCAGCTTGGGCTGTTAGGTCCTCAGCGCAGATGGAGAATCATTCGCGCACTGTATGGTTTGCAAACCAGTCCAAAGGACTGGGCTTTGTATCGAGATCAGGAGCTAAAGGGCCTGCAGGTTTCTGTTGAGGATGAGGTGCTGACCCTATTCCAAGGAATTTCCGACGACAGTCTGTGGTTTGCAAAGAATGCAAAAGGGGAGGTCAGAGCTCTGGTGGTGGTATATGTAGACGACGTTGGTCTGTTTGGGCCTAGGTTGGTGCTGAGGGCGCTGGTTGATAAATTGAGGGAAAAGTGGAACACCTCGGAGCCAGTGTGGTCAAATGACGAGACCCTCCTGAATATCTGCGGCGTTGAGTTGCAGCAGCTCAAAATGGGCTGGAGGCTCACGAAACGGGCGTACCTTCAGGAGTTGCTTCAAAGGTATGAGGTCGAATCCACGGCAAGCGTGCCCATCGCTCGGTGGGATGACCCTCCGGATGAGGATTGTGGTATCTCTGATGTACGTAGGGCGCAAGGCATCGTGGGTGCTTTGTTATGGGCTATGACTAGATCTAGACCAGACCTTATGTTCGCTATCTCGAAGATGAGTCAGTGTGCTACCAAAGCACCAAAGAAGGTTTTTGAAACTGGTCTTCAAGTTTTGGCTTATGTGCGTCAAACCCTGGATCTGGGATTGGAGTTTCCGATTGACGTTGGGCCTACATTTGGGAGTCACGGCCAGTTATCACTGCCTCGGAACAAGGGCGTGCTGGAGGTGTATTCGGACAGTTCGCATGCTCCTCAGGGAGGCCGCTCAATGCAATCTACCGTCCTAATGTGGCGTGGCGGATGCATCCTCTGGGAAGCTTCCCGGCAAGCGTTTACGACCTTGTCATCTGCTGAGTCGGAGCTAGTATCGATGATCCACTCGGTTCAAGCAGGAGAATCGGTGCAGCCCATCATCGAGGAATTGACGGAGGAAGACACCTTGCTGTCTCTTCAGGGAGACAATGCAGCATCAGTGCGTGCGTTTGAGCCAGCCGGAGGTGGATGGCGGAATCGCCATCTACGGATGCGTGCAGCGGCAGCGAGGGAGCGGGTTGCAGCAGGGGCTCTTGTGGTTCAACATATTGCTGGGGAATATCAAGTTGCGGATTTAGGTACCAAGCCGCTAGGAGGTAGTAGGATCACGGCATTGCTTTCCTTGGCAAATGTGAGGGAGGGATCCATGTCAAGAGGTATGCGGGATGGTCTCAACACTTCAGCTCGAGCACTGAGAAGGGTGCGGGCATGCGCCTCCCAGCCAGAATGGCTTAGTTGTCCCACGGCAGCCTTGGTACTGACTATGCTAGCAATTGTGCAGCCGACCAGAGCTCAACCCATGTATCAAGAAGAGAAATGGGGTTGGGTATGGATTGTCGCTTTTGGGTTGGTGATGTTGGCTGCGGTGATTTGGTATGGGGGCTTGGGGCTAGCGGTTCCTGGTTCCTTGGAAGCTCGGGGGCAAGTTTGCGAGGAATCGGAGTCGGGGTCCGAGGCGCCAGAGCCGAATGGAAGCTTGAGGGAGTTGTGTGCATATGAGCCACAGGGACTTGATGATTCCTTAAAAATGCCAGGGACATGTGTCGAGATTGGGGGGAGTTGTGGGAGCAACGAACTTCCGACAGGAGGCTTGAGGCCCGTAGGAACTGTTTTTCAGGGGCAGGCTTGCGGTTCCCAGGATGGGGGGAGTTGGCTAGATGGTAGGGCTTTATCTGCAGTGTCAGTCCTGGATGGGCCGTCTGAGCTCGCATTTGCTGCAGCACAAGCCGCCTTTGAAGTTTCTCAGTCTGGGAGCTCAGGGCTTGGCCACGGTGATCCATTTGCAGTTGTAGCTTCGGAAGCTGAGATTGCATTTGCGGCGGCGCAGGCAGTGTTTGAAGCTTCTCAGCCTGGGGTTCTTGGGCTGGGTTATGATCCTTCCTATGTAGAGGTAGATTCTGAGGGGCAGTCTGAAGGGAGTGAGCGACTTGATGCTGTTCCACATCGACCCTCGGAAGACTATCAGCCACCAATCGGGTTCACCAGGCAGTTCTTTAGGGAGGAAGAATCGTCCGATTCGGCTAGTTCTTCGAGCACGTCGGAGGGGTTTGAGGGGGCTGAAGGTCATGTATCTTGGGAGGCGCGGGCTGTTGCCGAGCAGACACCCGGGGTTGGTGATCCGGCTTCGTCTTCAGATTTTAGCCGATTCGTGACGACCACGGATGGTAGATTAGTGGCATGGAGGGTGCGGGATGAGCGCATCCATTTCCTGAGAAGGCTACTAACCCTAAGCGGGGAAGTCATTGTGGGGCTCTTAGGAGTTGGGTCTGGGGAGGTTCGTTGGTTGAGGGAAGTTGCGGCCACTTATCGGTATGGGATTGCGGGAGCGTGTGAGCGATTCAGGAGTTTGGAAAATGTAGCTCCAGGGTTCGTTCCGAGAGAGGGCGATAGCGACCCATTGGAGGGAAGGGCTGATGCTTCAGAACCAGGGGCCTCTGAAACGACCGAGTCCTCAAGATTATCTTCTGCCAGTAGCGGTTCAGAATATTTTTCCCCAGAGGGTTCCGAGCTAGAAGCGGCTTCGGAGGAGACAGGGGTTTGGTTGACTGCATCACTTGGCGTGTGGTATCGAGCTGGAGCTGAAGGGTTCTGGATGCGGTATGTAGATGACGTTGCGTGGGTTCCTTTGCCAGGGTGGTCTTTGTCACAAGTTCAAGTTGTGGTAGAGGGACTGTGCCGCGATGACTGGTCTGAGTTTGAAGCGATGATATCGGCGCCAAGAGATGACAGCTCGGAGGATTGGGGAAGCGATCTAGGGTCAGAGGAGTCGTGCTTGGCAGTGAATCTTTGGGCCCTTGGATGTTCGAGCGTGGGTTTTCTTGCGGGAGTGATAAGCACTATGATGTGGGTAGGATGGATTCAGGGTTGGACTTCGGTGTTGTTCTGTGTGTATCTAAGCTCGTTTTGGGTCAGGATGGCAGCTTTGTGGGGAGATGGTAGCATTGAGGACGGTTTTCGAAGGCTGGTGATTCTAGCTGAGGAATCTTACCTATGGTTTCCTTTGGTGGGGAAATCTGGTATCGTTGGTTTGTCTTTGCCACGAGCGAATTCCTGGAACTTCGTGGTGCTAATAGTCCTGTTCGTGGTGTTTGGTTTCTCGAGTCCAGCAAATGCACAAATCGTGATGGAGAAGGCTCTGGTGGGGTACGAGGAGATACAGCCGGAGGTTACAGCTGCGACATGCGAAATCCAAGAGACTACTGAAGCCCTTGACACCTCAGAGGTTAGTCTATGGTGGTTTGGGTTGATATGGTCAATTTTTAGCGTTGGAGTTTGGGAAGCATTTAAGTGGACTGTGAAGAGGACTATTTGCCGTAGAAAAAACAGTACAGCCGAGAGTCAAACTGAAGACCAGTACGTCATTGAACTTCCATTGCCAAGCGGAGTGCCACATAGGGCTCAGATTTTGTTCTGTCTCTGGCGTGCTGGGTTCCACATTGATGTACAGCAGTATCCCGAGGAAGTCCAAGACGAGTACCATAGCTATGTTGGGGCGTATCTGGTTAGGGTTGACAGGGGTGAAGACTCGTCGGATTGAGCGTAAGCACTGAATGGGTGCCATGAACCAAGAGGACTCTTTCGAGTGGGATATTGTCCGATTTTGTCGCAGGGCTCTGGAAGGAACGGAGCATGTGTAGAAGAAGTGTGAGGTTTATGTTAAGAAGCCTTCCGTTGAAAGAGCGGGCTTTTAGAGTTCCGAAGTTTTGTGCTTTGGTCCCTGAGGCTTCTCGGCGACAAACCTCCACGAAACGTACAGGGGGCGCTGTGGGTTCTATCTCTCGATCGTCCGGACGTTCTTTAAGAGATGTCCGCTTCGAAGAAACGGGAAGAACCAAGCTTTTCCCAACCCTTTTGATGCGAGGGGTGCCGATTCATCTGGCGCTATGTTTTCCAGCCCTTGTCGTCCAGCTTTGTAGGCTGGGCGAGGGGGAGTGCGTAAGCTCCGCCAGGTGAAGATGCACATGGCCCCTGCGCAAGGATGACACGCGTGTATCTGAGGCTGTTTTCTGTTGCTCAAAAAGAAGTTCGAGGCCTCTGTGGGGGGGTTTAGTTTGGGTCCCAGGGACTTAAGTTACCTTCTTTAGAGAGATTCTGGTTGGTGCATTAAGCAAAACCACCAACTTAAGTTGCGATCTACCGGATTTTGGCACCCTATTTACGTACCTTACTCTAATCTGGGGCTTCAGGGGTTTCAGGATTAAACGGGGAGACCCCAAAACCCTTGGCCCCCTCTCACCCGATCAGGGCCCCTTGAAAACACTAGCACAAAGCCCCAACTAGAGCCCATCCACAATAAACCTGAAACCCGAAACCACCCTAAACCCTGAACCCTAAACCCTAACCGCTAGGCCCTAAACCCTAAACCTCAAACCCTCAACCCCTGGACCCTAAACCTTCAACCCTTTAACCCTAAGCTTTACACCCGGAGATCCGAGGAAGTGGCTCTGGGTGACACCCTCCTGGTGCTTTGGCAGCCAGACGGCCGTTCAGGGATTGCCGTCTAGACCCATAACGGCCCCAAACCGGTAACCCTAGAAACCTTAACCCCTAAACCCTAACCCTAGAAGCCCTAAACCCTAAACTCTAAACCCTAAAGGCCCTGTGTCGCCCTTAATCCCCCCTGCCCCGCCCACACCACCCCTTAACGGGATTTGGGGTGGTTCAGGGGTTTGGGCGGTGTTCAGGAGTTGGGGGGGTTTTTGAGGGTTAGAGTTTGTGTTCTTTGGGGGATTTGGAGCTTGGGGATTTTAAGGCCTTGGGGTCTACAAAGTTGCGGTTGAGCAGGTGGGGATTGGGAAGGTTCCGGCGATCCAAACGAAGTGCCGCATCCTGACCCCTAAACCCTAAAGCCTAAAGCCTAAACCCTAAACCCAAAACCTTAAACTCTCGCAACCAAACCACTTCCCTAGATTCTGTCCCTTGTTTGTGTACCTTAAAGATTGAGACTCCATAGTCTACATAGGAACCCCCACGTTCAGGGTTTTAGGGTTTAGGGTTTAGGGTTCAGGGTTTAGGGTTTAGGGTTTAGGGTTTAGGGTTTAGGGACAAGTGGACCCTGACTTCGAGAACTGGCCACCTGGGTGTCAGGAACCACTACGAGAACTTCAGCGTCCTTATGGCGCAGGCGGGTGTCGGTTTCAGCGGGTCGAACCTCCCTTTTCTCCCAAAGAACCTCGGTTTAGGGTTCAGGGTTTAGGGTTTAGGGTCCCTGAACCCAGGCATGGGATGTATCCAATCCTCAACCTGCAACTCCTCAACCCAGGTTGGGGTTTAGGGTTTAGGGTGTAGGGGTTTAGGGTTTGGGGTCCAATGTTAAAGGGCCCTGAAGCTCGAAACTCTGTACCCTCTACGAAAGTCCTCAAAACCCAAAACCTCTCAAAGCTCTCAAAGGCTCTCAAAACTCGCAACATCTCCCTCATGAGCTTCAAAATCTCCAAACATCTCTGACCCCCAAAACCCTAATCCCTAAACCCAAAACCTACTCTCATGATCAAGGCCCTTATATTAAGCCCAATCCCCAAGCCTTGCCGACATGATGAGACTTTATGGATCGGATCCGCCTCTGGTCCGTGCCTTATGCAGCTGCAAGTAAGGGTTTGTTAGGGTTTAGGGTTTAGGGTTGAGGGTTTAGGTTTTAGGTTTAGGGTTAGGGTTTAGGGTGGTAAAGGGCTTGATCCCCAAATCACCTGTCGCTGCTGGCTCCATCACGCAGGTGTCTTGGGTGCTCTTCACGGTGGCGATGGTGATTGCTTGGACCTGCCGTCGGAGGAGGGGCGCTGAATCCTAAGCGACCCTGTGTAGCCCTGATGCCACTGTCCTTAAGTGGTCCAAACCATAGACCCTAAATAAACCCCCCAAAGCTTAAGCCTCATGCCCTCAACTGCAAGAAATATACTGCTCCAGAGAACTCCAAGAAGTGCCCCAATCCTAACCCTTGAACCCCACAGCCTAAGTTTCTTCTTCAAAGCCCACAGTCTACCTCAGCCCTAGGGGTTAGGGCTCAGGACATTTAGGGTTTAGGGTTTAGGGTTTAGTGCTCAAGTGTTATAAGCTACTTCTGCCCCGACGCTTACAGATTGACAGATATGAAGCAACAAGCCCTAAGCTCGAAAACCGCACAAGACCATCAAAGAAACCACCCCAAAGCCGAAACCCTAAACCCTCAAACCCCCAAAACCCAAAAACCCTGCTTGACCCCAAGCCTGGTTCATCCTAAACCCGAAGCCCTAAGCCCTAAACCCTGAACCCCTTAAGCCCCCTTGGCAGTGGACCCTCGAATGAGGATGTACAGGCTCTTCTACCTCGGCCACCATCTTGCTCTGCTTTTCGCGCCCCGGTCCAACCACACCCCATGTAGCTTCGAGGGGTCTAGGGTTTAGGGTTTAGGGTTTAGGGTTTAGGGTTTAGGGATGGGGCTCAGGCGTTTTGGTTTTAGGTTGCCCAAATTCAAACCTCTGAGGGCCCTCCCCTGACCCTTAGAGTTTAGGGTCTGGTCCAGAAGCAATTTGGGCGTAGGTTGTAGGAAATTGGGGAAGAAATCCCTTGAAAAGCGTTGAATGCCCCCAAGCCCTAAACCCTATACCCTAAACCCTAAACCTTAAATCCTACATGCCAACTGAGGTCCCCAGGGTGTTTAGTCTTCAAGGACATTCCACAAGCCATCCTTGGCGCCACTAACTATGAATCGCTCGTGCCGGGCCTGTGCCCGCAAAGTGCCAAAGAATAATCAGTCCCACGCTTTTGTTGCTTATTTAGGACTTAGGGTTTGGGGTGTTTAGGTCCAGGTTCTCAGCCCAGATTCCCAGGCTCTACTGCAGCACCTCCTAAGCCGCTAAGCCTCACAGCCCTGCACCCCCTAAACCCCTAAACCTCCTAAACCTCGAGCCCTTAACCCCTTATAAGCTCTACACCCCAAAACCACCAACCCCAAACCCTTAAAGCCCTAAGCCCCCAAAAAAACCTCCTAAGCCTAAACCCCCTAAAGCCCCTAAACCTCCCCAAATAACCCCCGCTGAACCCTAGAGTCCTACAGCCCTAAACCCACAAAACCCCCCCAACAGGTCTTCACCCTAAAAACCTCACCCTAAACCCTAAACCCTCAACCCTAAAACCAGGTCTTCATGGGCATGGTCCACGCCTGGAGCTTCTGGTTCTTCGTGCTCCCCGGCCTGGCACTCTGGTGGTTCGATCGCCTCCGCCGGCGCCTTTGGCAAGAGTTCGGGTTTAGGGTTTAGGGTTTAGGGCTTAGGGCTTAGGGTTTAGGTTTAGGGTTTGGGGTTTCAGTTTTTTTTCGGGTTGAGGTGGTTTAGGGGGGAGGGGGTTAAGGGGCTCAGGGGATTTCGGGGGGTCAGGGGTTTAGGCTTGAGGGCTTTAGGGTTGTTTGGGGCTTGGGGAGTGGGCACAGGGTTGTGGGTTTGGGCTTATGGGGGTCGGGGTTTAGGGTCGTGAGGTTCGGGACAGGGGGTTAGGGTTTTAGATCAGGGATTTGAGATTTGAGAGTTTAAGTTGCTCAGTCCTTCCCGGGATGGGGTTTTGGGGTTTAGGGGTTGGCTCTCTTGCGGGGAGATGCAGCCTCGGGGTCTTCAAGGAAGTTACATCGGGCTGTCGGGACGTGCGGCTTGAGGGTTGGAGGTTTGGATTTAGGGCTTCGTAGAGGGTTCGGGATTCAGGGTTTGAGGTTTAGGGCTTTTTTGGGGGTTAGGGTTTCAGGCTTGGACCGGTTGTTGCGGTTTACGTGCTTTAGGTTTGGCTTGTGCGCGGGGTTTCGCGTGAAAGGTCCGGTCTGAGGTCTCTACCCCAAGTCCAGACCCCAAATTCTAAACCTTCTGAACCCCCCAAGCCCTAAGCCAGAAAACCCCTAAATCCTAAACCAGCCTTCAAGTGCACCCCGAAACCCCAAACCCAAAGCCCTGGACCCTTGAAACCTCGAACCCCGAACCCCGAACCCTGAAGCGCAAAATCTAAACCCACCCCCTCAACCCAAAGCCTTAAGGCCTAAGCCGCAAGCCCTAAACCCTCTCAACCCTACACCCTAAGACCCTAGGCCCTAAACCCCAAGCTCAGAACCGTAAACTCTAAATAGAAATCAACCATAAACCCTCAGCCCTAAACTCTATTTGGACCCTATGCCCTAAACCCCAAGCTCAGAACCCTAAACGCACCCCCAGGCTGGTCGGTCCTTCGCAGCCCACGCGGGTCTTGAGGTTAGCCGCCATCGCGGGCACCGACATCACCCACGTGGACGCGTGGGGTTCTGGGGCCGACTTTGGAACTGCCAGGTGCTAGTATCCCTAAACCCTAAACCCTCAACCCTCAACCCTGAACCCTAAACCCTAAACCCCACACCCAAGGTTCGGGGTGTTAGGGCTGAGGGCTTAGGTGTTTGGGGTTTTTGGGTTTTGGGTTTGGGGTTTAGGGTTTGGGGTTTGGGGTTTGGGGTTTAGGGTTTAGGGTTTAGGGTCCAGGGTCCCTAAACTAGCACCTGGCAGTGCCAACTTGCAGGGTTTGAGGGTTCGCGGTTCTGTCGGTTTTATGAGGGTTTTGTGTGTCTACCCCAGGCCCTCATCCCTAAACTCTAAACCGTTTCAGGGCTTAGGGCCCAGGTTTGGAGTCTAGGATGGGCTTGGGACAAGATAGTTGGGCTTGGGCCTGAAGTCCTAAAACCCTGAACGCTGAAACCTTGAAACTTTAGGGGCAGTTTATTAGCCTCGGCTTATGAAGCCATAAAGCCCAAACAAAACCCTAAACCCTGAATCCTGCAAACCCTAAACCCAAACCCTAACCCAAAAGCCTCACCCCCAAAACCTAAACCCTAAACCCCTACAAAGCCTCCCTTTTAGCCGGGGCTACCCTAAGCTCTAAACCCTACAACCCTAAACCCTGAACCCTAAACCCAAAACCCTAAACCGTAAACCCTAAAGAGTCCAGGAGTTGGAGATTCCCTGGCTCGCGGCTCAACTCCGCCCTGGGCACTTCGTGCCTTTGGGGTGGGGGGGGGGGGGGTCCACGGTTTGAGGGGTTTAGGATTTAGGGTTTGGGGTTTAGGGTTTAGCGTTGGTTAGGGGATTAGGGGTTTAGGGGGTTTAGGGGTTTAGGGGTTCAGTGGTTTAGGGGTTTAGGGTTGAGTTTAGGTGTTTAGGGTTTAGGGGTTCGGGTTTGGGGTTTGGGGCGTTTTGGGGCGGCGTGGTGTTTGGGGGGTTCTTGGGTTTTGCCTGTCTAGGGTTTGAGGGTATTTGTGGTTGACGGTCTGGGGTGCCAAAAAAAAGGTGCCAAAGCACTCAAAACCATGGCGATGGTCTAAGCATGTGCGAGTGTAGTTCCTGAGCTCCCAACCCTAAACCTTGAACCTTGAACCCTAAACCCTAAACCCTAAACCCTAAACCCTAAACCCTAAACCCTAAACCCTAAACCCTAAACCCTGAACCCTCAACCCTGAACCCTCAACCCTCAACCCTAAACCCTGTTCGAGCCGTCTGCAAAGAGCCACCCAGGTGCTGATCCACGTGCCAGCAGCGACTCGCAGAAGGGAGTTTAGGGTTTAGGGTTTAGGGTTTAGGGTTTAGGGTTTAGGGTTTAGGGGAGGTTGGACACCAAACGCTCAGCCCTAAACCCTGAACCCGAAACCGTAAACCCAAAAACCCTCGACCCCAAACTCTAAATCCTAAGCCCCAATCCCTAAACCCTAAACCCGAAGCCCTAGAGCCTCAATTCTAAACTCCCTCGTCGGGAGCCCCCACTGTGGTGGGAGTCCGGGATCAAGTCCTCTGCTCTCGCAGTTTGGTTTTGGGTTTGGGGGTTTTTGTTCCGGGTTTGGGGTTAGGGCTGTGAAATCCTCACTTACTCTTAAGTGGGAAAGAAGACCAAGCCCCCGAAATGTCCCTGAGCTCGAAACTCCAAACCTTCAAACCAGCCCAGGTTTGCCGGCAGTCATGGCACCCATTCACGGCCAATGTCCAGGGCGACCGCGTCCCTGGACACAGTTTTGTGGAGCTTCGCTTTGGGCGTTGGCGACCGCGACACCCACGCTCTAAACCCCAAACCAGGCAAAGGTCTTGAACAATGAGCTCGGACCCCTAAACCCCAAACCCCAAACCCCGTAGGGCTGCGGCTCCCAATTCCCAAGCGCTCGGTCGTCCGGGTGTGTATCCTTTTTGCAAGTTCGGGGCAGGCCTGGGCTCCCACGCCTCCCAAACGCCTGAACCCCCAAAGGGTTTCGGGCTCGGGGTTGAGGGTTGAGGGTTTAGAGCGCACCCTACCTTAAACCCAAAACCCCAAACTCCAAACTAAACCCCAAACCCCAAACCCTAAACGCTATGCCCCTAAGCCCCTAAAACTCCTAAACCCAAAACCCAAAACCCAAAACCCCCCGAACCCCAAAGGTGAGCCTCTTCTGCAAGGCGGCTGGGCCCTGGACGCAGCAGCCCGGACTCCCTTGAGAGTGCTTTGGGGCTTCAGGTTTAGTGGGTTTTTATAGTGGGTTTAGGGGTTTCGGGTCTAGGGTTTAGGGTTTAGAGTTTAGGGTTTAGGGTCTGAGAATTTAGGGTTTCGGCTTGGGGTGCAGGGTTTAGGTTTCAGCAATTTCGGGTTTTTTGGGTTTGGGGTTTGGGGTTTGGGGCTTGCGGGTTAGGGTTGAGGCTTTGAGGGTTTAAGGTTTGGGGGTAGGTGCTGGGGCTTGGGGCTTGGGGTTGAGGCTTCTCGGATTTAGGTTTCAGGGTTTTGGGGGGTTGGGGTTTCGGAGCTTTTGGGCTTCTGGGCTTTGTTTTGGGTTGTTTGGGCCATAAAACCCAGATGTCGAAACCAAAGCTGTAAACCCTAAGCCGTTAAACCAGTCAAACAGTTAAACCAGTCAAACCAGTTAAACCAGTTAAACCAGTCAAACCAGTTAAACCAGTTAAACCAGCTAAGCCAGTTAAACCAGCGAAACCAGCTAAACCAGCTAAACCAGCTAAACCAGCTAAACCAGCTAAACCAGCTAAACCAGCTAAACCAGCTAAACCAGCTAAACCAGCTAAACCAGCTAAACCAGCTAAACCAGCTAAACCAGCTAAACCAGCTAAACCAGCTAAACCCTAAACCCTAAACCCTAAACCCTAAACCCTAAACCCTAAACCCTAAACCCTAAACCCTAAACCCTAAACCCTAAACCCTAAACCCTAAACCCTAAACCCTAAACCCTAAACCCTAACCTTAAGCCTTGAACCGTTTGGCAAGGGGCTCTGCGCGATCTGACTTCTAACCTTCCTAAAGCCGAGGCAGCTTCGGGAGTTGGCCACGCAGCAGCCCCTGCGGCTTGTCTGAGAACACTAAACCCTAAACCCTAAACCCTAAA